GTTTGGGGGTCCGGGTTTTAGGGTTTAGGGTTTAGGGCTTAGGGTTGATTATCTTTGTAGCAACCTTGTGTGCACCCTCTGTTTTTCCGGGATTCTACCTTCAACCCTTGGTACCCCTCTGAATCGCTGAGGGAATGGTAGGAGCCAGTTTGGGAGGAAACGAAGCAAGCTCCCTAAACCCTCAACCCTAAACCCTAAATTCGAAGAGCCCTAAATCCGAAGCCCTAAACCCTAAACCCTAAACCCTAAACCCTAAACCCTAAACCCTAAACCCTAAACCCTAAACCCTAGACCCTAGACCCTAAACCCTAAACCCTAAACCCTAAACCCTAAACCCCAGACCCTGCACCCTGTTTTAGCCCTTGAGGCTAAAAGTTTTAGGTGTCAGGTCTGAGGGGCCCTGGGATGGCCAAGGGTTTGGGAAGGATTGGGGGGGGGGGGGGGGGGGGGGGGGAACCTTACAACTTCCTGTTGCAGCCTCTTAAGGCTTCAGTCCTAAATCTTAAGGTCACTCGTGGGCAAAGGCACAAGGCTTCGTGGGCAAGGCACAAGGCTTCCGCCCCTCCCCCCCACCCCCCTCCTCCACCCCCCCCTCCACCCCGCCTAAGAGGCAAGAGGCAAGGCCAGCAAGGCAAGGCACAAGGCAAGGCTCAAGGCAAGGCACAAGGCAAGGCACAAGCCGCCCCCCAAGCTTAAGGAGGTTCCCGGGTGGGGTGAGGTTGAGAACCCTCGGGTATGGAGCCAAGGTTTACGGATTGAGTGAGCCACATATTTTTCCTACTGTTCTGGGATCCAAAGGGTGGGCGAAACCCTAAACCCCAACCTCTGAACTCTGAGGCCCAAACAAGCATCGAAGCCCGACAGCCCCTGAGCGCTCAAGCCCTCCAGCACAGAAATATACCCCAAACCCTAAACCCTAAGAGGCTAAGTCCTAAGCCCAAACGCCTACACCCTAACCCCCCTAAACCCTAAACCCTAAACCCTAAACCCCAACCCCGAACCCTAAAACTCTTTTAAACCCCTGAGCGAAGCTTCGTCTAGGCAGCGGAGGTGAGTCGCCTTATTGATCCGGAGATGACGGACACCCCTAAGGGTTTAGGGTTTCAAGTTTAGGTTTAGGGATTCAGGGTGTCAGGCTGAGGTTTTAGGGCCGTCGGGTTTGCGGGTTTCAGGGTTTTAGAGTTTATCGGTTTAGGGCTTTAGGGTTTGATTAGGACTTAGATTTAGACATCTAAAGTTTGTTGGCTTTAGGGTTTAAAGGTTTTCGCTTTAGGGTACCGAGTGTGTTGCTGCTTGAGGGTCTAGGTTTAGGGTGTCGGTTTCAACCCCCGAACGCCCGAAGCTCGAGCAGGCCTACTGGATACAAGCAATTTCCCATTGCAAAAGAATGACAGAAGCCTTCACCCAGAATCCTGAACCCCAGAATCCTGAACCCCAAATACATAGCCCCAAACCCGAAACGCCCCTAAGCTAGAGGGTTTAGGGTTTAGGGTTTAGGGTTTAGGGTTTAGGGTTTAGGGATTAGCTGCCCAATTCTTTCGTGTATGTGGGGTTTGTGGGGGTTCAGGCTCTCGGGGTGACGGGGCTTGGGCAGCCAGTAGGAACCTTGGCCCTAAACCCTCCTGAACCCAAAGCCCTAACCCCCTAAACCCCCGAACAGACCCACAACCAAAGCCCTAAAACCAATCACCAACCCACCCCTATATTCCTCGACCCCAAACCCATAAACCCTAACCCTAAACCCTATAACCTTAAACCCCCAAACCTCGAAAACCCTACACCCCCCAACGGAGGGGGGGCTTGCAGGAGCTAAGATTTGGCACCGTCGTGGACCGCTTGCTCGGCTTCGTCCCGCCTCTGGCCGCTGGGCCTTGTGGGGTTTGGGGTAATTTAGGGATTAGGGTTTAGGGTTTAGGGTTTAAGGTTTAGGGTTTAGGGTTTAGGGTTTAGAGGGTTTAGGCCTTAGGGCTTGGAGGGGTTTTCGAGGGTTGCTTCGCCGCATCGTGCCTGAACTTGTCATACTAGCCCTCAAGCTGGGTGTGGAACTACAAGCCCTGAGCCATAAACCCTAAACCCCCAAGGTCCAGGTAGGTTTGGGATGGTAGGATACGGGTTTGGGGCGCTTGACGAGACCTACGGCGTGCCACGGGTTTAGGGTTTACCGGCAGCCCGGGTTTAGGGTTTGGGTTTAGGTTTAGGCTTTAGGGTTTAGGCTTTAGGGTTTAGGCTTTAGGGTTTAGGGTTTAGGATTAAAAGCCTTCAGCCCTCCACTCTAACCCCCCACCCCCCCAAACTGTTTCAGGACTTGGTGGAGCAGTCGCTTGCCGAGGAGCTCTCGGACCTGCGCGAGAGCCACTGGGCTTGGGGGAGGGCCTCTTGAGGAAGGGTTTAGGGTTTAGGGTTTAGGGTTTAGGGCTTAGGGCTTAGGGTTTAGGGTTTAGGGTTGAAGGTTTTGGGTCCGATGGGTTTCGGAGCATCCAGCCTGAGGTTCTGTGCCTAGTTACGCTTAGTTCATTCGGATTTCTGCTGAAACCTCTTTCTTTTGCGTATGCAATGCGCGCTGTGCGTTGACAGCTAACACCTTAGACCTTAAAGCCCTAGAACTCCGACTCCCTGAAGCCGTAGCCCTATACAAACCTAAGCCCACATCCCCAAGTCTCTTGGGCCCTTCTTCGCCTACAGCCCTCAAACCCCCAAGCCCTCAACTAGCAATCTAAACTCTCTCCAAACCCCGGAACACCGCAGCCTAGCATCAAAGCCGTTTTACCCCCCAACCCTAAAACCTCCCACTGGACCCTAAACCGCAGAACCCTAAGCCCCACGCCCCAAGCCCCAAGCCCCAAGCCCTAAACCCTAAACCCTAAACCCTCAACCCTAAACCCTCAACCCTAAACCCTCAACCCTAAACCCTTAGCTTAATTAAAAGCCCTAAGCCCGCACACGGGACCGAGGACTGGTTTCATGGGCGAATCCCGAGGACGGCTCGCCGCACACGGCGCTGTGGCAATTTTTCCAGGAGTTTCCTGGCTTTGGTGGCGAACCCTGAACCCTAAACTCTAAACCCTAAACCCTAAACCCTAAACCCCAAACCCCAAACCCCAAACCCCAAACCCTAAACCCGAAACCCTAAACCCTAAACCCGAAACCCTAAGCCCTAAACCCTAAACCTTAAACCCTAAACCACTCAGTAGGGTTTGCCGGGCTCGGCTTTCGAGCTTCGGGTTCAGGGCCTTGGGGCTTAGGAAGGTTTTTAGGGTGTCTTGAAGGGCCGGTGGATTTGATTTTTGTTGCGGACGTGGCTGGGGGTTCGGGCTTCCGGCTCCTGAAGTACAAGGGTACAGGGTTTGGGGTTTGGGGTTTAGGGTTTAGGGTTTAGGGTTTGGGGTTTGGGGTTTAGGGTTTTGGGGTGTTTAGTGCCCCAAGCCCTAGACTCCCTAAGCCCTTTACCTCGAATGTGCCTAGACAGGGATGCTATATTGGAGAACCGATGCCCGCAGTTTCCCCCTGAAGGAGAATTGAACCCTAACCCTAAAATCCAAAACCCTAACCCCTAAACCCTAAACCCTGCGGGCAAGGTGGGTCCTGTACCGGTACCCCTGAATTAGGGCTACTTGCGGGCTGTGAAGCTTGAATAGGGGGGAGCCTTGGGTATAGCATAGGGGTGGGGATCCTCGGAAATCTTTATAGCCTAAGGGAAGTTACATGGGCCCTTCAGATGGTCCCCTACCTCGTTTAGCTTGTTCTGAAGTATGGGCCCTTGGGTTGTATAGGGTATGAATATGTACCCTTTTAGGGGCCCATGCTAAGGGACCATGTAACCGGTTTAGGGTTTAGGGTTTAGGGTTTGGGGTTTAGGGTTTAGGGTCTAGGGTTTAGGGTTTTAAGAAATCCTTATCAGCCCGTTTACTGGAGTGATTAAAAAAAGCCCAGGTTCGATGAGGCTGGGGGGCTGCGGCAGGTTTGTTGGGTTGCAGGGGTAGGGTTGAGGGCCTTCTGTGTGGAGAGGCCGAAACCCTAAACCCCTAAACCCTAAAACCCAAAACCCTGAACCCTAAACCCCAAACCCTAAACCCCAAACCCTAAAACCCCAAAACTCTAAACCTTAAACCCTAAGCCGCAGCTTTCGTGGCAAGCTTCCTGTTCTGCGAACTTCGGGACGATGTGTGCAATCCCAAGCCCTGAACTAAAACCCGGCCCCCCCTATATTTTTGGGCTCGCGTGTTGCGGGTGCACGCCTCATCCACAACTCTAGGTCTTGGGCCTTAACTCGAGATGACCAGCACAACCGGGTTGCTGTTTCCTGGGCCCTGAACCTTAAACCTGAAGCCCAGTTTCTAGGAATGATGGCTTCTGTGGCAGGACTCTTCTCGTGGCTCTGATACTGAAAACGCTTGCACCCCCCAAGATGAGCCCCTGAAGCTCTGAAACCCTAAGCCAAAAGCCCTAAGCCCTAAGCCCTAAACCCTAAGCCCTAAACCCTAAACCCTAAACCCTAAGCCGCAGAATCGCGACGGCGTTCTTTCCATCGAGGAGGCTGTGCACGGCTTCGAGCAGCTAGCGCAGCTGCTTGGGCTTTGGGGTTTGAACATGTGTCGTGGGAACCCTTTAGGGTTTAGGGTTTAGGGTTTAGGGCTAGGACCCAGAGTGGGGATGGTAGTCGGGTGTAGGGTTTAGGGTTTAGGGTTTAAGGTTGAAGTTTAGTGGGGTTTGATAGGGTTTGCAACCACGGCTTAAACGGGTGAATGGAGTTTGATAGGCCTCACGAGGCTGAATCGGGCCGAGTACGCCTTGCAGGGTTTCATAGGGTAAACTTACTTAGGCCTTTGAGCCGAAGCACTCAGACCGTGAGCTTCGAGCATTCAGCCCTGAGTAGATCAGCCTCTACCACTTTTGGCATTTCACCCCAAACCCTAAGCCCTAAGCCCTAAGCCCTAAACCCTAAACCAAAAAATAGCCCTAAACCCTCAACACGAGAGAGAGAGAGAGAGAGAGAGAGAGAGAGAGAGAGAGGGAGAGAGAGAGAGAGAGAGCCAGAGAGAGATAGGCCATCTTTCGGCAAGCGTTTGTTCAGATCCCCCGGCTTTCAAGTGGCACGATTGTGCATACCTGAAGTTCGCTCAATCCTGGTCCTGTTTTGGGTTTAGGGTTTAGGGTTAGGGTTTAGTGTTTAGGGTTTAGGGTTTTGGGTTTAGGGTCGGCTCCGTGATGCAACCTAAACCCCCCTTCCCCTGATATCGGAGGTTTCCGGTTCTGTGATTTTACCGGCCCCTGAAGCTTACAAACCCTGGAAGCCTTATATAGCCTAGAGAAACCCATATGGGCGTTTCCGAACTTAGGGGTATGCCTTATCGTGGTCCTCTATATGGGGGTCCCTTGTTGTCGGAACCCTAAACCCTAAACCCTAAACCCTAAACCCTGAGCACTACAAGTAGGCGCTATCGCAAGGGGCTGCCTGGGGCCCTTTCTGAGGTCGACGGCGTCTCAGGGAAGCTTGCTGTCGCAAGCGGGCCGATGGCTTTCAAGGCCGGCCCCTCGGAGAGAGTGGAGGGTCTAGGGTTTAGGGTTTAGGGTTTAGGGTTTAGGGTTTAGGGTTTAGGGTTTAGGGTTTAGGGTTGAAAGGGCCTGAAGCCTAAACCCCAAACTCGATCCGCCGAACCCTGAGGCGGAGCTTAGGTTCTAGAACGAGCTAAGTCGGCGATGAGTGCGCGAGCGTTTGGGTGGTGAGGGGTTTCGTGTTTTGATGTTAGAAGACGGAGATCCCAAAACTCCTGCCCGCTAGAAACTGCCCCAAGACAACTCCTGGGCTGGGTAGCCGCCGGGGTGGGTTTTGGGTTTAGGGTTTAGGGTGTGGGGTTTAGGGTTTAGGGTTTATGGTTAGGGTTTAGGGTTTAGGGTTTAGGGTGTAGGGTTTAGGGTTCCCTAAACCCTAACCCCCGCTGCCTGGCCATTCAACGCCCGAGGCTTGGCTTAATTCCCTCAGTGGCGTCCCAGGATGCTAACGTTTTGGTTCTAGCTTGCGGGTTTAGGGTGTAGGGTTTAGGGTTTAGGGTTTGGGGTTTAGGGTTTAGGGTTTCGGGTTTCGGGCCAGCAGTGGGAGGGAGCTTGACCCCTAAAGACTTAAACCCTAAACCGCAAACCCTAAACCCCAAACCCCAAACCCCAAACCCTAAACCCTAAACCCTAAACCCTAAACCCTAAACCCTAAACCCTAAACCCTAAACCCTAAACCCTAAACCTTAAACCCTAAACCCTCAACCCTCAACCCTAAACCCTAAACCCTCAATCAACCCTAAACCCTAAACCCTAAACCCTAAGCTCCGGCGCAGCTCTCGGCTCAAGCTCCTTCCCGCACCACGGGACGGTGCCATGAGCCTCGTGAGCCCAGGTAGGGGTCGGTTTTAGGTTTTGGGGTGTGGGGTTTAGGGTTTAAGGTTTGGGGTTTAGGGTTTAGCGTTTTAGGGTATAGGGTTTAGGGGTTAGGGTTTTGGGGTTAAGGGTTTAGGGTTCTAGGGTTCTAAGGGTTTAGGGTCTCAGGGTTGTTGGGTCTCTGGGTCTGTCGGGTTTAGGGTTTCAGGGGAGGGGGTTGAGGGTTTTAGGGGAGGGGGTTTGGGCTTTTCGGGGTTTTAAAGCGGTTTCGGTTCTCGGGTTTCAGAGTCGAGAGCTTTCGGGTTTAGGGTTTAGGGTTTAGGGTTTAGGGGCTCTTGAGGCTTGGCTTGTAGGAGCTTAGGGCTTGGATTTTATGTTGTTAGCCCTGGCAGTCCCGTTCTTGCAATCTGACGGGAGGGGCATCTAAGAAGATAAGATGCCCATGTTCGCAACTGTTTCCTAGTACCCCTGACGCCTCCCCAACTAAGCTTCAGGTTCACCCTAATCCCCAACCCCAAACTCCCCAAACCCTAAACCCTAAACCCTAAACCCTAAACCCTAAACCCTAAACCCTAAACCCTAAACCCTAAACCCTAAACCCTAAACCCTAAACCCTAAACCCCAAACCCTAAACCGTAAGCCCTAAGCCCTAAAACTTCCCTTGGCCCACCCCCCCCCCCCCACCCTGAAAAACCCCTATACGTAATCTTGTGAGCACTGGTCGAGGCAACGATGGCAGACCACCGCCGGCCACGAGACTGCAGCCAAAACTCTAGAATCAGCAGCCTCCAACCCTGAACCCTGAACCCCAAACCGTAAACACCAAACCCTGAATCCCAAACCCTGAACCCCAAACTCTGAACCCCAAACCCTACTACTACTGGCTGGTTCTTATTCGGGAATCGGGGAATGCGGTACCCTATGTCATCCCTTAAAAGGGTAGATATAGGGTGATGTAGGGTACCTGATTCCCTCATTCCCAACGAAGCACCCGAGGGACTATAGTTGCATGAATAATTCGAATGTTTTTGGGGTTGATTATCGTATAATTATGAAGGAGCACAGTAATTATTCCGACCCTATTTTACGTAGGGGAACCTACCCCTGACTTTATCCTAGTTAAGTATATGGGGC